CACTCAACAATTATTTAACGCAGAATCTATCATCCTCAGAGCTTTGTGGCACAGTGATTAGAAAGACTACCACTAACAGTGAACTCATAATGTAATTTTCATTACTCACGCTAATAGTCTCAGTATGGCAAGGTGTATTCACGTTCTGGTCTTGCGTTGCAGGAAATCAAATAGTGTTCTTGTTCTGGAAATGCAAGCACTGAAACTAAGCACTGTTACCCACTCTCTGACTGTCGTCTCATCCATTTTCACGGTAACCCCCAATCATGCTCACGGTACACTCGTATGTGCCATAGATGTAACTCATAGATGTAACTCATTCACACACACATTCTAAGGCCTGTGGTGGAGTGTCAGTTTCTCCCTCTCATGTTAGGTGCAACTAACAGCTGTAACAGCATTAGTTTTAGTGATAATGTTACTGTTAGTGTTAGGATTGCAATCGTATTCCCATTAGGTGTCGGTTATAGTATTGCATTAAGGTCAGGATAGTGATAGGGTTTGGTTTAGGGTTAGGGTTACTTGTATCAGCAATGTAGTTTTATTTACTCGTACTCTGTCACAGATCAACTCTGTGAAACATCACTCCAACTTTACTTTCGCAGCACTCTTTCACTTTGAGAATACATTCTCTTAGTCTGAGAGAGTAGTCTCGCACATTGAATAAGGACTTGATCTGAGTCCAAATCTTACTCTTCGTGTCACAGCAATACCAAAAATGTTTCAGTACAAAGACAAAGTGAAAAAACACTCTCAATGTCAGAGCAGACCCACACAATATTTTAGCAGTTCTACAGTGTACGCACCACTGACTCACAGGTTCCTGCCCTTCACAATCACTGTGTTATCCAACTAACGTAATGTCAAATTCATCTCATTCAATGTCATATTTCATCTACATTGTTTACTAACTCACATGCGTTGTGTACAAAACACATACAGAATATCAGAACACTAAAGCGCTACTTCCCAACACTCAACAAGTATGTCACTCAGAATCTATCATCCTCAGAGCTTTATGGCACAGTGATTAGAAAAACTACCACTAATCATGCACTCATTATGTGATTTTCTTCACTCACGCCAATAGCCACAGTATGGAACGGTGTATTCTCGTTCTGATTGTAGTGATAGAAAACTAGCAAACAAACAAACAAAAAACAAAATCAGGATGCCTAATTACAGTGATGTCAATATATTTTCCAGTAGGTGGCAGACATTGTCAAGAAGTTATAGAAAAGAGAAGAAAGTTCTGTGACTTCCAAAGATGGCCAACAGGTGTCTCTTTACAACCATATATCTCTGAACTCTTGTAAAAATAAAGTCAGACAGATATAACATTTGCTTGTCTTCCTTGTTCATCTGATAGCATCAACACTACTCTACCAAGCACTGAATAGGTGAGTTTGCCCAGCAGAAAAGGAAATAATCGAATTCTAAGGAGGAAAGAGATATTGAATACAATCGAATAGCAGAAAACAGCCAAATAAAGTGTTCTTCTCAAGTAGAAAAAGACTCCCAATTTAAAGGATCTTGAACAGCACTGGTCACGTGTGCATGTGTTTACTCAACTTTAGAGAGAGAGGGCCTTGTGAATGGTTCCTAACCAGGAAGGACTTCCTGACATCATTTCATTGATATTGTTTCCCATCCCAATTTCAATAGACCACACACACACACACACACACACACACACACACGCACACACACACACACACTACATGAACATCTGCACCTTCACACTTTCACACTTGTCTGACTTTGCTGGCATCATTAACATAATCTCTCTCTCTGTGTGTGTGAGTATCAGAAAGAGAGAGAGAGGGAGAGAAAGTGAGAGAGAGAGAAAGAGAAAGAGAGAGAGAATGCTAATTTCCTCAATAACTCAAAGATAGTCTTAAGTATGGAGTTCAAAGTATATACGCAGAATCCTCTGAATTCTGTGTGGGTACAGAATTCTGAAAAATTTACCTTTTATGCTAGAGAATATTTATCTCCAGTTTATTCTAATGTTAAGTAGGCATGTGTAGTAAACATGGTTTCACATAGAGAAGACGAAATACTAGAAGAAAATGTCATTTCTATGGATAGTTCACTCTATCAGAGACTGTGTTAAATGATAAATCAAAAAGATAATATATGTCCAAATTCACACAAACCCACAAAGGACATCACACCACTGTCATGAAGCTTTAGTTAATAAAATAAAATTTTGTTCCTGCCTAGTAGATATTTAAACTAATAATATTTTATGACTATGCACAGATACTACAGGCAAACCAATGACCTTTCATCACTTCACACTGTTCAAAGATATTTACAGCCCAACCACATGTTATAGTTCTAAAGAAATATGGCTTATTTCAGGGCACAGCACAACATGGGATGCTTCACTTCTTTAAGGTCTGGAAGTACTACCCAGTAATAGATTTACTTCATTTCTTTTGTAGAGCTGGCACCTTCCCTCTACTTTCTGTATGTATGAAGACCTAAGTGTGCACAAAGTGAATACCAGCTTTTTCTATTCAAGTATTTCTCTGATGGACGAACATGACTGGGCCTTTCCTGAGGAAAAGAAAATCACAGCCAGGTTAAAGAAAGTCACAGGAATCCAGTGCCTGGTAAAGATTCAAACCATCCTGGTCAGTTTGTCCAGAAAGTAGAGAAAATTCGAGAATGAGAAAATGAGATGAACTTTCTTGAATCCCATCAGACCCAGGAATCTGTTTCATGCAAAATCAGAAGAGTTATGAGATCCACTAGAAAAGGTAATGGGAGTTTGTGTCTCTTCTCTTCCTTTGATTACACTTTATAGTCTATGGTTGAGCTTCCTTAATTTGACATACCTGGTATCTCTAGCTTCACTTGTTCTCTTCCACAAGAAATATCTCTTCCACAAGTGGCTTCTCTAAGCTGCTTAATTAAGGAACACAAGTTTCACTCCTGCCTAGGACTAATTCCTTGCATTAGCAAAGGCTCCTTGCCACTAACACCCCCCCTCTGTCTCTCTCTCTCCTTTCTCCTCTCTCTCTCTCCTTTTATTTGAACTCAGAATGAAACATTTAAAATATTGTGATGCTGTCTAAGCAAAACAAAATCTTCCAGTCAGTGACCAAAGCCAGCACCCTCACCCATAGAAGTCCAGTGTCTGTCTGCAGGGAAAAAAATCTGTTCTGTCCTCACATCTGACTTTTCATTCTTGCATACTTATTTATTTATTTATTTGACACATCAGGTTAACTAACACTAATTGTTCACTACTGAACCTGAGAAGAGCACCTGTTTAATGTGATTTATGTCATCAGCCCATGGACTCACGCCTGCTGACAAGTGGAAGAGATTTCACTGGTTTAGCTCAAACCTGGTTCTATGACTGTGGCTACCCTCAAGCAGAGTTTGGAGTTCACAGGCTCTTTACAGAAGTAAGGATATGAACATTTGCTGTAATCTGTAACTGAGGCCCCAGCCCTGGGTCACTGGGCACAAAGCTCAGCTGGTTTATGTATTTGTGGTTCAAATTCAAGGTTTTTTTTTGTTTGTTTGTTTGGTTAGTTGTTTTTTTTTTTTTGTTGTTGTTGTTTTGTTTTGTTTTTGTTGCTTTTGTTTTTCAACCACAATGAATTACTACTAAATTTTTAAATACATAGCAAGAACTCACTTTAGTAGGTTATCTTGTATGTTACAATTATTAGTAAATAAATACTTAAATATAATTTCCAGTTGTCCTATAATTTTGTGCTCTCTCAATGACGTTAGATCTCTAACAAATGATGTGTTTTCCAGAAATTAGGTGGCAAGGGGAAGAGGAATTCTTGCTCTATAAAGCAGGTGCCTGAAAATGAACAAACCTACTAAGAAGAGGCCAATTCAAATTCCAGCTCTGATCCGCCTGGGGAGAAATCTAATGGATTTTGCTATTTTCCTGTCTCCTGAAGATTTAGCTCCCTTAATATAAGGATTCATATAATCTCCTATATGTGTTTGACATTTATATCAGTGACTGTTGGGGGGAGAAAGAGGAGTCATTGAAATTAACGCAGGAAATCACCCACACACTCCTGTTTTCTCATCCACATATTAAAAAGTTATGCTGCACTTTTCTCTTACAAGACTTGACACCAGCAGTGGTAATCTCTATTCTCTATTTTCTTCCAGCACCTGTTAGAGAAAAGTCAGTGGCCTTCAGGGGGATCTGGCAGGATAACACTGAAATTAACAGAGTTGTCTACGGATATGGAAAAAAAAAAAAAACTAGTTTTAAAATGACTTACTTCGGAGCATTTTTAGACCTATTCCTGTATGCAAATGCAAGTGATTGGCTGACTACTGGACTGTCTAAGCTGGCAGTCAAGTAGCTGGCAAAGAAATCTTTTCGCATCTTTTATTACAAATCAGGAAAGTGAAGAGGAGCAAGGGTCGGGCGGAGTGTTGAAAACTCCTACCAAAAACAAAACAAAACAAAACAAAACAAAAAAACCCACTAAATTAAAACATAGTATTTAAGAATTAATTTTCTGTAGAGATTCACATTGTTTTTTTTTTTTTTTCTTTTACTAACACACCATGTATTTCAAAGGGAAGAAGTCTTGTTCACTTGTCTTCATGAGAACTTTCCGTGCTTTTTCCAGAGTTTGCCTATTGTTGCAGTCTGCCGGAACCTTCCCTTTGCACTCTTCCAGTTCCTGGGATAGGCTGCAAGGCATTCCTTTCAAGCTGCTAACGCAAGACAAGCAAGTTAACTTCCAGTCGCGCGGTCCTAAAGCTGGCCAGACCTGTCTCGGCGGCTGCTGGTCCCTTAACCACCCTTTTTCAAAAAATCAGGGCCATCATGGGCCCGTGTGCAAATAAAGCCCCTCGAAATGCTACTTCCAAATATAGGCTCCCCGTCACCAAAGACTCCCGGTCCTGTGGGCGGCCCATAACTTCCCGCCCACACCACGCCCGACAAGGCCCACATCTGGAAGCCAAGTCGTTCGCGGTCAGCTCGGCGGAACGGAACACCTTGCGGCAATGCTCAAGAACAGAAATTTCCTCTTTGAAAACATTTAATGTATTTGGAGCCTCCACTGAACTGCCTTGAATAGCCCACTTTGAACTAGAATAATTTAGTCTGACAACAGATTCTTCTCTGTTCACAGCTGTCCCAGAAGGAGGAGCTGAAATCCGAACCTTTCTGCTGTGATTGGGTGCTTCTACTTCTAGTAAAAGCCAGGGAGAAAATCCCTCCCAGCCCTGAAGAACTCAGTTGGGCAGGGAGCCGGGTGACTTCAGAGGCGCCCGCTTGTCCCAGGCTGCACCTGAACCGCCACGATGCTGTAGGACCTCCGCCTGGACCGTTATCCGCCCGCGCCTGCCTGCCGCCACCATGCCGCGCTCCTTCCTGGTCAAGAAACATTTCAACGCCTCCAAGAAGCCTAACTACAGCGAACTGGACACACACACAGGTAAATACGCTCTGCAAATCTGTGTGCGACTGAATCGCGTTTCTGCTACTTTACTCTGCACACACTGGGCTGCTTTTCTTTAAACGTCCTAAAACAGTGCTTACAGTCTCTGAATCACCTAGAGTAAGTTTTAATTCAAATCTTTTGAGCTTTTTCCGTACAAGGAAAGCTTCCTTCCGGTAGTGCAGTGTGGTTCTCACTGTATAATGAGTGCACTGAAATGAGCACACCCTTCCCCAAGGCTGGGCTGTTACCTTGGGGAGTCAGGAACTGGAAAGCAGCTGGATTCCTTCATGTCATTGCCCTCACAGTCGTAGCACAAGTAGAATAGCCCATGCTTGAAATGGAAAGCAACTCTACAGAAAGTTTTACAATAGTGTCTAGCTCTTCTTTATAAATGAGGGCTGTATTGCTTGTCCAGAAGAGCCAGGGTAAACAGTCAGCTTGCACAAGGACATTAAGTACAGATGAAGGGAATGTTTCATCATTATGTGTATCCTTGTGAGTGAGTCTTCACTATGGAGTTTTGTGTGTGTTGTTATGTGCTGTCTCAGGCAGTATGCATGTGTTTTAAGAAAGATTTCGCCTTAATTTTCTGCTCCCTGCTTTCTTTCTCCTAGTGATCATTTCCCCGTACCTCTATGAGAGCTACCCCATGCCTATCATACCAAAACCAGAGATCCTCAGCTCAGGAGCATACAGCCCTATTACTGTGTGGACATCATCGGCAGCTCCATTCCACTCCCCTCTGTCCAGTGGCCTTTCCTCTCTTACTGGATACTCCTCACCCTTGGGGCGAGTAAGCCCCCCTCCTTCATCTGATGCTTCATCCAAGGACCACAGTGGTTCAGAAAGTCCCATTAGTGATGAAGAGGAAAGACTACAAGCCAAGCTCTCAGACCCCCATGCCATTGAAGCTGAGAAGTTTCAGTGTAATTTGTGTAATAAGACATATTCTACTTTCTCTGGGCTGGCCAAACATAAGCAGCTGCATTGTGATGCCCAGTCTAGAAAATCTTTCAGCTGCAAATACTGTGAAAAGGAATATGTGAGCCTGGGTGCCCTTAAGATGCATATTCGGACCCACACATTGCCTTGTGTCTGCAAGATCTGTGGCAAGGCTTTCTCTAGACCCTGGTTGCTTCAAGGACACATTAGAACTCATACAGGTAAGAGGAATGTAGAAAACAATGCTTCTCAGCTCAGACAATGGTGTGTTGGGGCTAGCTGTGGGGTGCCTTGACACAGAGATGGGGTGCTTTTCATGAGGTGAACTACTAGTAACTGATGCCTGGCTGCTCAAAAGTGTGTTAGAGCAGCAAGTACTCCATTCCTTGCTAACAGCTTTGACTCCTGAACCAGTAAACAGCTTTTAGACTTTGGGAAGTACATATAGGAGGTTTAGTCTCAAAGATCAGTTAGAAAGTAGGAGTGAGGTACTTGATTTGTGTTCTACAGAACTGTCTCTGGTAGTCAGCAAATACAAGTGCCTGGATCCTAGTGTTATTTGATAAACAGACAGAGGGGTTTCCCATAGTACTTGGCTACATCTTCATTGTGAAATTTGTTAACTCTTGACTAGTTAAGTAGTAGATGGAACTAAATTTGATCTATTTTTTGTTTACTTTTTATTTGGGGTTTTGTTGTTGTTTCTTGCTGTTAATTTTTTTAATTCTTATCATAAAAGCATATGCAGGGAGCCGGATGTAGTCATCACACAGAAAGAGGAGAAATAATGGGAATGTGGGAATCTTCTCATCATATTGCACCTATTGAAGCAGAAACCCTTATCAAGAGAAAGCCCTTTAACCCTGAATTATGTCTGCATGTCTGGCAGAACTGAAGCTATTTGGCTGATATTTTAAAAGAAATTTTTGGTTTAAAAGGCCTGGTAGCTGCCTAACATGGGGGGAATATAATCAAGCTAGGCTAATTCTTGATCTTTTGATAAACTACTGTTGATATTCATTAATGTTATTTGACTTTGTTTCCTGTAAAAACACTGACTGTCATTTTTTTCTTACCCTTGCCCCCACAAACCAGGGGAAAAGCCTTTTTCTTGCCCTCATTGCAACAGAGCTTTTGCAGACAGGTCAAATCTGAGGGCACATCTGCAGACCCACTCTGATGTAAAGAAATACCAGTGCAAAAACTGCTCCAAAACCTTCTCCAGAATGTCTCTTCTGCACAAGCATGAGGAGTCTGGCTGCTGTGTGGCACACTGATTGGCACAATCAGTGTTTACTCGAACAGAATGCATTTCTTCACTCCAATGCCAAATGAAAGCCCAAAGCTGTTTTCTCTTGTGCTTACCTACAAAATAGTACGTATAGATACACACAAAAGTCTCTCTCTCTCTCTCACACACACACACACAACTATAGAACATAATCTATATACTTAAAATTAATCCTTTCTATGTGAAGTTTAAAATTATATTTACCGACAGCTATATTGAAAGACTAGAAGACAAGAACCTTTTCTTTAAAGATGAAGTGAAAAGCACATTGCATCTTTTCTTATTAAGAAAGAATGCAGAAATTTACATTGCTGCCAAACCATTTCAACTAAAAGGAACAGTATTGCTTCATAATAGATTTGTAATAGTATTTGTAATAATATTTCCAAGAGGAAGAGAGTTTGCCAGATGCTATCTCAGGTGCCTTATAAAGTACTCCAAGTTTACTTCCTTACGTGTCAGATGTCTGGTTGTCATCGGTGAATGAAAGTCTTTTCTGGATTGCCTAAAATGCTTTAAACTGTATCATTATAAGAAAAAAATGAGAAAAAGAACAGAACACAAAAGAATGTATTAAAATATTATTATTTTGTTTCATTTTTGCCATGTGTGCCTTGGAAGAGGAGGGAAGGGCAAACTTCAAACATTCCTGGTGCATGTGCCATGTTGTCTTACTTTTTAAAAGGATCATAGTGATTTATAAGACAATTTAATGAATAAGACAACATAATGCAAGAGAGCATCTTAGACATTTAGTAATGTACTTAGAGTTTTGAAAATGCATATGATGGCTGCAATAACACAATGCCCTTCAAAGTGCCTGTTTTAATGAATTGTGTAGTTGATGCAAATTATGTTTATTTTTATATGGCTGAATGAGCTCTGTATGAAAGTGAGGTGTGGTCTATAACTGTGCCTACATACAACCTGAACACTTGTGAAATCAATGTTCCTTTTTTAAAAAGTCATTTTCATGTCCACTTTTTTACAATAAACATTTTTGGTGTAAAAATTATTTCTCATATACTATCTTCAATACCTTCATTTGTCTTAATATCAAATATTATACTGAAATTTATTTTTTGTGTTAAGAAAAAACATAAATGGTATTTTATACGTATAAAATACTAATTTATTCTAGATTATAGTAAACTGCCTTTTTAACTCCTAAAGTACTATCACATTCAGAAAAAATAACATGATAGTAGCTTATTAGCAAGTTTCTGGGACAACAAATGGTTATGTTAATAATAAAAAAACATTTTTCAAAATATTCTAATGTTAATTTTATTGACTTTGTGAAAACAAATTATAATCATTTATGCTTTTTCATATGCCATTGGAATAGTTTCAGATTTTTAAAGGAAATATTATTTAATGATATAAGAGAGAGAAACATAAAAAAAGCCTACATGAAAGAAATAGTAACCACAAATAATATACATTTGAAAAAGTAAACTGTGTAAACAAAAGCTCATTGGTAGTGATGTAGGTAATATGTTTGATGGCCTTAGAGTGAAACTAAAAAACTAAAGCATCTTTTTATGTATGATCAAGTTGAGCAAGCTTGCACCCAAACTTGAGATGTATTTCATAAAACAGTATCTAATCATACATCCCATTATTCAAATTCATGTTGTGTTAATGGATATGTGAGTTTCCTAATGATGATGCAACTTCACTAGATACCAGAGCATATGAGGACCCAAACTTGAAGGCTGTTGTAACAGTAGTTCTGTTTCTATTAACTGATGATTTCATTTTAGTATAACCAGAACTTGCAAAATAGTCTTTTTCTTTTGATGATTTATGATTCAAGCAAAAGCTGGTAATAACTCAAATGATGTTAATAATAGACCATTAGCATGGAACCAATAATAAATGTTAGACTGGTGCTTTCCCTGCTGAGTATTTTACATATTTTAGCCCATGTATACAGCAATTTTGTATTTGATGAAAAAAGCCAGTTGAGTATTATACTTTTTAATTGTTTGGCTATCTCAGGCTGTAGCTCTCAGAAGCAAAATTATTTGGCACAACAGTTTATGGCTGTGAAAGTTATGGCCTATCATTATCCTGGAACACTATAACGTCATTTTAAAAAGCCAACTGAGTTACACATACCTGGGACAAAAATATTGCAGTAGTAGTCTGAGAGTATCTAAGTCAGCTAACAAGGAGACTGTCTTGTAAAGGGAAAAGTTGAGTCACATCTTTGTGAAAGCTCTGGTGGCTGGTCAGGAGCCACAGTTACCCCAATTTTCCTTTCTCACTGGTTAGAGCAGTAGGCAGTGTCCTGGTGTCAAAACTTAAGCAGCTACCTTTCTGAATGGAAGCATCTGTTCATTACTAATTCCCCAATGAAAGAATAATACATTTTCTAATATAGTGCCACTATTCTAATTTCATTCTTAATTTAAATATTCCAGTTTTATAAAAATATCATGCTTATGAGGTACAGTAGATATTAGAATAATCTTTAAATACACCTGAATTTGTACCTATGGTTTTAACTATATATCTTCCTTTCAGCAATCCACAAAGCTTGTAAGTGTTCTGATCCATTCATGCAATAACACATACCAAGTCACAAGCTTTGGTGAATGCCTTCCCTTTCACTATATGGGCCACTCTCAATGTGGAATCTCTCAGGGCTCAGCATAACAGTAGCACAGCATTTTAATAAATATTAAATGAATTGATTGAAAAAGCAGTAGAATTGGTAGAAAAGCTTAGAAAATCAAAAGAAAGTCAGTATATTTCCTTATTACCGCAGTCATAACTTTCAAGAAAATCCCTGTCCCCATTCATTTTACTTACTTATGCAACTTTGGCATCACATTTGCCTAGGATTCCTAAAGCACAAAATAGGAACAAAGACTCAGTACCACAGATAAAAAACTGAAGATCCCTTGCACTAATGTTTCTACAAGATCCCTACTGCTATTATTTAATGTTTACTACATGCATATTACTATGTATATAGTACATACTGATACTGTGTAGAACATATACTCATGCATAGTATTTGCCATGATAACACAGGGCATTGCTATTTCACCAATATAGGTACAATACTCAGGTTGAAAATGGTCCCAAGGTAGCAAAGGAGACAAGCTGCAGAACAGAAAATCATACCTAGACTTTGCCTCCAAGTTTCTGTGCTTCCCACGCTGTTAAAATGTGAAAACTTGCTCACCTATGCTTAATTTAGTGAATTTTTATACATCACAGGTCTCAGTTAAAAGCTTGGTAAGACAATGAATGGTAACATTCTGAAATGCAATGTGTTAATGCTATACCTGGGTGATATCACAATTCAAAAATGATACTACTGATATCAGCATTTTTCAGAAGTCTTACCCATGTTGTAGACATCCTGCTGGTGACTCTTGCTCCATACTAGGCCCTCCTTGCTGTTCATACAGCTACTTAGGCTGACATCTCGCATGGGAGCCCATTTTTTCTGGCCTGATCTCTTGGAGATGAAGAGCAGCTGTTATCCATCCTCTATGTGCATTAGCACTTCATCTTCTGAAGGCCATTGCTGCTCCCTCCCACACCCACACTCCTCATCCTGCTTTTATCTTTTCAGTCTGAGAAGTCTCACAAGCTAAACATCCATTCCTTCCCCTACTAAAATATGGATACTTTAGTATAACAACACCATCAAAAGTTTGAAAAATATAAGACTTTTCTGAATAATAGCCGCATATTGGAAGTTGCCTCTATTTAAATATAGGAAACATTTTTAACAAAATTAGTTTGAGATTCAGTATTCTTCCATCTAGAGAAAAACTAATTTTCAAATAGAATAATTTTCTGTCATAGAAGACAGTGGAACCAGAACATCTCTACCTAAGATAGCTGCATGGGGATACTTTGAAATCCTATTTTTAAGCAGTAAGCATGTAAGATCTAGCAGTAAATGAGGGAATGGTTGGTGAGTAATGGGTCCAGGTCCTTAACCCTGCAGAAAGCAATCATTACTGTGAGGAAATCACATGTACAGATCAGCAAGCATGGCAGCTTTTCCTCTTTGGCAACAGGCCAGACTCCTGAACAATGAGAGATTAGCAGAGGAAATGGCAGCATATCCATGTCCTCTGACTCCAAAAGGAACAAGGTAGATATTTATAGCAGCAGGAGGAGAGCTGCTATTAGAGAGAGCAGGGATATTTGAACTTTTTGAACCAATTCATTTCATTAAACTTCGTAAAAGTTGAATCCATTCAGCTTATTCTTATGGAAGCACGGAAATCATTTACAGGTCCTTTAAATTGTCCCTAGGTAGTTTTCCTTGACAATAATAAAAGATAAAGGCCTGGTACTTGTCTGCCTCAGCATCAACTTCGATGGTGGAGAGGATGTGACCCTGTCTCCTGGTTTATTCTGGGGCTTGTGTCAGCCCCAGAATGGAGCAGCAGAGGACTTACTTAAATACTCAGACAATGCTAAGGATTGAGAAGGAGAGTTCCAGCTGTATAAAACAGTGATAATGTCTTGTGCCAAAGACAATCAATGCAGTTCTATTTCTTGTGTAAGTTCCAACTTCAATCCATATAAAGATACAATAAAGATGCAAAGATGTATTGGACGTTCCTGTATCATGTTAAAATATTTCCTCAAAGAATTAGCAGAATGGCCAATATAAAATGTGCTTGCTTCTTTCCATACCTGGCTTGCCAAAGCTCTACAGTCTGTGTCCTCTCTGCCCAGGGCCAGTGCTTCCAGGATTTCAGTGTGCCCTGTTCCCTCCATGTGTTGTTAGTCTCCTGCCTTCTGACTCTGAGGGGCCTGAGAGTCTGCATTTCCACCTCAGATGATGTCCCCTGTAGAGGGCAAGTCTTACCTGCCTTGAAAGTACAACTTTCAAGCCCAATTCTAAGTCTTGGTTTCTTGGGTAACTATATGCATTCAAAATGGCCACTGGGGAGAATGGAGGGATACAAGTGGAGCCTTTAAAGTGCCTAAGTGTGAAGTGGAAGGCAAGAACACAGAGATTTCCACCAAAGTCAACTCTCTTCCTACCTTCTCTACTTCCCAATAACTAGCAACACCACAATTCTCGAGGTATCATCAACTCTCTGTTGTCAAATCCATGGATTTAGCCACAACATGTTTTTAAAAAAAATCTGCTCAATATTGAATATATAGAAATATTTTCAAAATTATTTCCTAAATAATACAGTAAAACAGCTTTTTTGCATATACTTGTGTTAGGCATAGTAAGTGATCAAGAAATAATTTACAATATGTGCAAGAGTTAGTGGCCTGTATACAAACACTACTGTTTTGAGGGTCTTAATCTTCTATGGATTTGACACTATTCTGAGAGACCCTGCAGGAGACTGACAAGACTGCCTTTGGTTTTGAGTTTACTTTAATTTCTCTTATACTTATCCTGCCCAGTAGGTGATTCATTGGGGTGGAGGAATGTCATCCCAGTTCTTATTGGTTCACTAACAACTGGGAGCATAAGTGGAAGAGTGGAGCATAAGTGGAGAGTTTCCAAGTGGAAACTCTCATCGAAGCTTAGGAACGAAATGTAACTGCCACAAACCTTCAGCAGAGAGGCTCTGGTCTACCAGTCAGTGCACTGGTCAGGTTACCTCATACTCACCATTTCAGGCCTTCTACTGTTGGTCTCAGACAAATGTCTGCACCAAAACATGGAATTAAGGCACCTCACACACCAATTGGAGGTTTCTAGTTATGATCTCAAAAAGTATCCTCTGTGAAGCTCAGGGCTTCTGGGAATCTATGGACATCTTACCCAGGTAAGGCTCATGATTCTTCTGCCAAGTGGGTGGTAATTAGGATATTTTTTCTCCATATATTGGGATACTATTATTAATTTACTCTTATTTTATTCATTAATTAGTTAGTACATAAAATTTCAAATAGGCATTTCCTAGCAAAAATTAATATGAGTTTGTAACAAGCATTCCTCTCTTAGACAGGGTTTCTATTTATGTAATAAAATACAGTAACCAAAAGAAACTTCAGGAGGAA